CCTCCCAACACCCCCATACATTCACTTCTGGAACAGCCCTGTATAGAAAAGTACATTATATAAGATAAGTAGCACTAGCTAGATCACCCAGTTTTTACAGTGCTTGAACTTTCTGGTAAGTGACGCATAGTCATAAAGTGTAACCATGCAACTGTGTTAGATAGCTAGCTAGCACACTGCATTGGGTTTCTAAGGGTTAGTAGGTACATGTGCTACATATAAAAGTGTATAAGAATAATAACAGAAAGCAAGAGAAAATACATTGGTAGTCAAAATCAGTAGATGCAAGTCGGTGCCCAAAAATAATTATTATAGTGACATCATAAAGTGCCTTTGTTTCTATATTTTCATAGTTTTCATTGTCTATTGGAAAAAAATTATCAAAAACAGTCCTAAATTAAAAAAAAACACAGTTATAAGTAACATTATCAAGAAAAAGTTTACTGTTCAGATTATTTTAAGCAGATTTTGCAATAAAATAAAACTTAAAAAATGCTTTCGGTTTCTTATGGTTTCCTGTCGCGTTTAAAAAAAACCTTAATTTAGCATTAAAAATAGATTTTAAATATTAACAAGAAGCAAGTGACACCAGTAATGGTGTTCATTTATGTCTTTTGAAATAAATTGTGAAAAATAAAGGAAATAAATTTGGTATCCTGTTTAGTTTCCTGTCACGAAAACGATGAATCAAAAAGGATTAATTTTTTCTCGAAAAACCCACTTGTTCTATTAATACTATTCTCACACCAACACAACCCACAGAATAAAAATTAAAGTTTTAGAACTTAAAAAAAAAGGATACAAAAAGAAACCAAGGTTTGAATACCAAATCATTGCCCATATATGTCAGATGATTAAGTCCAACCCAGTTAAATATTTGTGAAAATAATCACTTCCCAAATAACCATGACAACCTGTGTGAGTGAACACCACCTGAACTTGAGGTCTTCCTAGACATGCTTTAATGTCATAAAAAATGATTAAATTAAGAGTTTAAATCAATTAATAAATTTCACAAATTACCACAATGTTAAAATCTGACAATAAATTTAATATAACACTTCTAAAACAAACCTAGAACACGTGTCTAGAATGTTAAAAAACGTTCTAAACAACTGTTTTCTTAAGAAAACGAGATTCAATTTTGACAGGTTTTACACTTCCACTGACAGCTTAAACCTACGCCTTGCCATCAAGCTTTCCTCTTCACAGATGTCGGTATAGGTGACAATAAAACATCTTTTGTCATTAGAATCATAACATCATTAATAACTCGTTATAAATCAGGACAAGGAAAAGTTTTTATATATTTAGAATACTTATCTATCAAAAAGGCCAATACACAAAAAAAGGGGGGGATAATGTAATGGGGTTCAATAATGAGGTAATTTGTAGGGGAAAATGTATCCTGTAGATTAATTAATCATATATCAAATTATTTATTGCTGATAACATAGTTTACAAAGGTGCTAAATGATTCAATGACAACTCATTTCATTCCATGGACAATTCTAATTCACTGGTCAGATCAAATTTCACTGGACAATAATCATATTACTGATAATTTCAAAACTTATTGGACATTGATTAAGTCCATTGAAAACATCATTTTACTGAATCTATAAATGTTAACACTCTGTAAGATCTGTAAAAGGCAGCTCAATGTTAAATTTTGGAAAAAATACAAAGGTATTGTTAATCTTCTATTTGTATGAGTTATCTCCCATACAATACCTGAGCATGCATTTTGTCAAAAAGGCAAAAAATTTATGTTTTTTATCTCCGTAGTGACCTTTTGAAATCCCCATAGTCAAATTTTGTATTGTGTGCCTTTGTACCAACAAAAGCAGGAGCAGATATTTCAAAAAGGAGACAAGCTTGTCAACATAATTTCTTCTTTTTTGAATGGTGTTTTGGTCAAGAGGAGGTCATTTTTTCTTGTTACCTTCATAAGTTCTACCTTTTCATTGACACTATAGCTGTGATTCCTTTCTGTCACTTGTAATGAATCCAAATCAGCCACAAATTATGAAAATTTCAATTTAACATACAATCAATGTTAATTGTAACTTATTTTATTTTTTCCATTTTATTCAGAAAAAAAATCTGACCGATGGGGGGCTACAACAAAATGGATACAAATAGAAAGAGCAACACGTATAAAAGCAATCCGTTCTTCTTGAGGTGGTGCTATTAAATAAAAAGTAATAAAATAATTTTTGACATAGATTTTATCCATGAAAAATGTTCTTAAAATGAATAATTCAAGAGCGGTAACTCTTCATCTATCATAGAAATTACTGCCAGTCTACGGACAACTTTTAAATGATTTATAGATCCCCAGTGCAAAATATCTGCATGATCTTATCATTAAAATCTTTAAATTACCCCACCAGTAGATTTTGTTTTGAATATTTTCTTATGAATCTGACAGATATTTTCAACTACTTCTACATCTATTTTAAAATAAATCAGGAACGTTCTGGAATCTAAATAAAACTTCGTTACTTTGTTTACTAGTTATTAAATTAGATATTCAATTAATAATTTACGATCAAGACAAAAAAATATATATATATCACTTACAATAAAATAACTGTACAGTGACCACAATAAATCAAGCGTATATACCACATGACTGGCAGCGTGTCATGTCAATAAATATGACATATGCGATATGAATACTAATCATTATCTTTTGTCCATGGAAAAATGGACAAGTAAAAATCATTAATTCAAACGAAAGTTTTCTGTCCAAATTTAGTCATGCCTGAAGATTAATTGTATTTTTCAAAAGGAAATAGTTTTGTAAGCAATAAATTGGGGGTTATGTATATAATTAATCAAATCTAAAATTAGTTACTGTTTTACACGGGGTCGGTGTACCTAACAGGTAATTGAAAAATATACATAGATTGATGAAAAAGTTCTCTCATTATAATAACAATTTACCCATCCTCTTTGTTTCATATAATTAATGAGGTTGAATCACAAAATCTATAGATAAAATTTGAACCTTTTGCACCTTGTGAAATCCTTATTTGAAAATACAATTTAGTAAAGAGAATCTTTTAAATATCTTTAAAATTAAAAAGAAATCTGAAAACATTAAAAACAGATGTATGCTGGACTGTAGGAGAGTGGAAAAATCAATTAACAAGACGGAAATTAGTTTTTATTATCAATATAAAAAAGAATATTTTCTTAATTCAATTATGGTAAAAGAAAGGGAAGAAATCAAACCCCATCAGTGACATAAAAACAGGCAATAATGGCTTAAGAAAAGCAGAAAACATCATGGATAAAAGACAAACAGAAAATACCATCCACAAAACACTGAATAGAAAACTAAAGATTGAAAAACACAAATACCACCAAACATCTTCATACATATTGCTCAGGGCAAATAAAATTCTGTGATAAGTTCCATATGGTTATGTCATAATCAAGGAAATGAGGATGGGATTGTGGCTATGACAAATGGAACATAAAGTTGGGCTTATGGTTTCATAGTACTAATCAAAGATTAATTATTTTTTAAATCTAAGTTTATATCTTCAGGTCATTGCATTTAAAGATATTTTCATAGACAGAACAATTCATACAGACACGTCATAAAGTATAGTAAATTTTCTTGTGAAAATTTATACATGAAATTTATAAGTTTATACTTGGAGTTTATAGCTAATCAACTAATTTAGCAGTTTATGGGGAACTTGGTCGTACTCCACTCCATGTTGATATTATTTGTTCAGTTATTAAATTTTTCTGTAGAATCAAAAGATGAATGAGTGTCATTTGTTAAGTCAAACTCTTACAGATAGCATTTATATTCACCAGAATGGTAATGAGATTGAAGATGTTTTAATTAAAAGGTATAGGCAATTTTTGAAAGATAATCTTTAACAGAATGCTACAGCGAAAAAGTAAAATTACAAACTTATCTCATATTAAAGAACATTTTCAAAAGAGAGACTTATCTAAAAGGATTTTGAAACTAGAAAGCACATCACAAAAACGAGAGTTAGTGCTCATAAATTAGCTATTGAGCAGGGACTTTATAGAAAGATTGACAAAGATATAAAATTTGCTCTTTAAATTCAATTGAAAAAAATCATTTTCTAAGATTGTGCAGCATTCGAACAAGAAGAAGTTATAGAAATAAGAAGATGTGGTATGAATGCCAATGAGACAACTCTCCATCCAAGTCACAATGTGTAAAAAGTAAACAATTATAGGTCAAAGTACGGCCTTCAACATGGAGCCTTGGCTCACACCAAACAGCAAGCTCATGTTAGATTCAGCTTTAAAAATATGCAATGATTTCAAAAATCTAAATACAGAAAACATATTTATTTGGCTTCTTTCATGTGAACATGAAGAAATATGCATCACTTTGGCTTTGATATATCATAAATGTTTTACAATAAGAAAACAACTGCTATAGTTAAATCCATATATATTATCATTAACATTATCAATATTGTTTCTTAACTTATATAAATAAGAAGATGTGGTATGAGTGCCAATGAGAAAACTATCCATCTAAGTAACAATGTGTAAAAAGTAAACAATTATAGGTCAAAGTACGGCTTATGTCTATTTGTAATCATTATATGTTACATGCCCTTTGTGGATAGATAATTTGTTTATAAAAGTATTGGCATTGGATGCACCACAATATGCTATTTAAGCTTACAGCTCAGTCTTTTGCCTTTGCAAACAACTAAGGGCTATTCCATTAAAATGTATGTGGGAGGGTAGGAAGGGAAGTTTAATTATTGAATGTGGGTCATGGGTCTTTTTTCAGTATGCGGTTATTACCATTATGCAAAATTATCTAAAAAATGGTTCTTGGTTGTAGGGATATTTTGAAAGTCCCTTCCTACCCTCCAACATTCATTTTAATGGAATAGCCCTAAGTATAAATTCCATGGAAAGAGGTCAGTGTCTGAAAAGTAAAGGAATTTTGCATTTCTAAAATCATTTTCAGATATTACCTTTAACTATTTTGATAGGGCATGTAAAATCTTCTTCCACAGGTTCATAAGGGTCAACTCGTCCTGTTGCTAGTGACAACTCCAATTCAACACTTTCAAAAACAAAGATGGAGGCCTCTGATGGAGAGTCATACTTTGTACTATTGGTAATACTGCTTTCTGCAAAACTGGCTTCAGACTGTAAATAAATTACAAATTATCACTTAATAATCTTAGGAACTTCAAGCCTTGTGGTCATAAAAATTATAAGTACATTTATTCACTAAGACTCTGAATTCAATCAATCAAAATACTGTATTTTGTGTTTCGAGAACATATTTTGTAATAAGAGTACTGAGTAAAGTTTTATGACTGAGAGCTTAATACATCACATGTGTCCAGCTTCACATTTTGGTCCTCATTTGAACCTTGATGCTGAAAACTTCGCTGGACTAAAACATTTGAATTTTCCCAATTGATGCAGTACTGCAGATTTTGTCAGGAATGACTTTTAAACTTTTGTTCAGTTAAATAACGCAGTATTTATTTAAAGCAGCTATAATTATATAAATATGGAAAATTTTATTTTATGATAATATATATACATTTCTATACATTTTCTACATTTATTTAACTCATTTTTTTTTTGTTATTTGATTAATGCTCTTTGGTATCCAAATATTTTATTTTCGACAATCCTAGGTATCATTATGTCATATTAGGCTATGCAGATTCATATTGTATAAAGACCATTATTTTATGTACATTTTCATGCTTGTTTCAATTGCATGCAATGAATGTACACACAATAAATGTACTAATGAATGTACACATATTATTTGAATACACACATATCGAGTGTATACATATAATAAATGTACATACAATGAATATGCACACAATGAATACACACATAATTTTAATCTAAATAATGTTTTTTAATTTTAATTTATTTCTTGAATGTGTATTTTTGTAAATGATATTTTTTTTTAATTGTTCAAAAACAAATTAAGTAAATGACTTGTCAATATAAATGTGATTTTTTTTATAGATATGCTTCTCATCAGACAACTCAATGGCTTTGAGAATTGATTGTTTTAATGTATATTTTTATTTAATATGTTATTGTATAATGTACAATCAATATGTGATACAATAATAAAATAAAATAAAATAAAATTGATATTTTAATGTACACGTAACAATTTTACACATACTGAAAGAAAGGTACATTAACCTCAAGAGTGTTTACTGTAGGGACGAAATTGGTCTCCAACAAAAAAAGCAGAAATGGCGTTCCCAGAAGTCCAAATACGGTTAAAAAAGAAAAATAATGACAGAAAAAACATGAACTTAAAAAGCAGAAATCTACGGATCCATGGAAACCTTTCATCACTGTTACAGTATAGGAATATGTTTACACGGATTTCTCTCAAAGTAAAATACAGACAGGAGGGGTAGAATTTACACATAAAATATAATGCCCCATTTTAGAAGACAACTAATTTTTGTATGTTCAAGAATCTTTGCAAAAGCTCTGAAGATAACAGAGGGGGCTTGTTACAAGACTTAATTTCTGTCCTTAAAAAAATAATCTTTTTTACTACAGCAGTCATTAAACGTAATTTCCCCAAATTCCACCTAATCTATCCCTTTGCAGAACCTACTTAATTTTTTCCTTCCCCTATACATATACTACTAATGTTTGTTCAAGTGGGGTGAAATATCAGGAGAAAAGATCTCATTAGGGAACATATCTTCAAATTTCCTTTTATAGTTACCATTAACACTACATTACAGTGGCTTCAATACAAAAGAAACCAAAGATTTCTTGCTTCAATCAATGTTTATGTGAAATAAATGTTATTGATAACACTTTATGTATTTTTTTACTCATAAAATTAATCTGATGAACATATTTTATTGAATTGAAAAATCATCTTTAATTTTTTTTTTTTTACTATATATTGATAATTGGTTTCTATCTTGTGGTGTAAGTCTGTCACTGGATAACTTAAATTTGATTTCTCTATACATGAAACAATATAAATACAACTATAGGCTCAACACCAAGAAAGAAAAAAACTCAAATATATGTATACTTTAGAGAAAATAGTGGCAGTAAAAAAAAAACAAAAAAAAACAAAAAAAAAACAGTTTGATATCTTGTGGAATGGTTTAAAATGATTATTATTGTTGTTTAATTTTTCTTTTCTTTTTTTACTAAGTTTACTAAACCAGAATACACTTGATTGTATGCATGTTTGATATGTTATTGTATGTATTGGAATATGAATACTGTGGATTCATTATTATTCGTTGGATACCAATTTTGCTGAAATTCATGGGTATAGGTGAACCACAAATTAAATTGTTCAACGAACTACAAATTTTATATATGCTGGTATGCAGACTTGGTCAAAACCCTGAAATCGCATTTGTTCAGGTATCAATAAACAATAGTGGAGTGGTCCATGACCTATGGATTTGACAAGAGTCTTTATTGTTGAGTCAAGACATATTATAATCATCAATCTATACCTATATCATCATGTCTCTATTAATCTAATAAGATCCCCTCATTGAACCTCTTGTTACCTGTAATGTCATATCTTCCACATCTTGTGCTGGTATCAACAGACAATGGTGAAGTCGTCCCTCTCCTGTTGCTATGATAAGAGCTGTGGGAGTTGTGTCGAGGCATGATATGGCACAGGCGTCTACACCGTAGTTATCTTCTGCTGGTGGCTGCATAATAAGAGGTCCCTGAAGGGGAAACTTTGTTCCTCTACAAAAATTATAAAACAATGCAACTCAATCAGGAGATAAATTGAAATGTAGCTAGGTGGAATTCAAACAAAAATGTTTACATTGTCGTACTTATCATACCCCAACTCGTAATTAAAAGTATCAGAAAACAGGAAGTAGGTGTCTGACAGATCTGAAAAGCCCTCGGACATAACAGCTTATTACTGTTGATCTGCTGGGCAAATATGAAGTAAAACTGTTCAGTAGTATTGCCTATTGGAGAAATATGCCACAAAAAACTTTAAATCCTCGAAAATTCAAACTATTTGCAAAAAGGAAGAAGGTATCTGACAGATCCAAAAAGTGCTCAAGCCTTACAACTCATTACTGTCAAGCTGGTTATCAAAAAGAAAGTCATTTTGTTAAGTAGTTTCTGAGAAAAAATATTAAGTTCATTCAATATACCAGCTAATAGACAGTAGGTCAGGGTTTTCAATAAGCACCGGCACCCGGCAAAATCTCCCCGTTTCAAATTGACTGTTGAAAGCTGTTGACCTCAGTGAATATCAGTATTTCAAAATTCAATAAAACCACATATTTACCTCATCAAAAGACAGTAATTGTATAATATCAAAATATTTTAATTTGATGAGCAATATCACAATTTACTAATAAGATTAACTTTACTAAAAAAAAAATTTAAAAAAAAGATATTATTCCTATGAAACCTAATTTTTTTATGCACTTGTAAACAGTCTGAAAATTCCTCAGAGTGCACCATTTTCAATGTAAGAAAAAAAAAAAAAATTTCCATACCCCCTCTGTCTTCTATTTACCACTTCAAATTAGTAAACAGCCTGTTCACTTCAAACTTATTGAAAACACTGTAGGTATCTGACAGATTCAAATAGTGGTCATATCTTACAACTTATCACAGTCAACCTGCTGACCAAACATGACATCATTCTGTTAAGCAGTTTTAGAAAAGTGTGATGAAAATAATAGTCAGAAGAAAAGGCAGAGAGACTGACAAGGTGATTGCAATACACCTCCATTCCTAGAGATGGGGTACAATTTAGCAAGGTTTAATTAAAATCCATGGGTTGTGATAAATGACACAGGCCTGAAAATAAAACAAGAGTGCACACGCTGAAATGTCTCGCCTGCTTTACTGACCATTGATTTTATGTTGAAAGTCTTAAAGGTAAAGGTTTTACTTAAAGCATTACAGAAACTTCACATTTTTAAAAATCTATGACAATGAGGTCAAGGTCAGACAAATTGTGTCAGACAGACATAATACACCTTACAATGTTTGTAAACACCAATTATAGTTGACCTATTGCGTATGCCAATTGAAAAACAGACAAAAACACATAAACTTATCATTGAAATGAACTATAAAAATGAGGTCAAGGTCAGATGATACCTTCCAGACAGACATGTACACCTTACAATCATTCCATACACCAAATACAGTTGACCTATTGCTTATAGTACTTGAAAAACAGGTAAAAACACATAAACTTAACATTGACAAATGAACCATGAAAATGAGGTCAAGGTCAGATGATACCTGCCAGACAGACTTGTGCACCTTATAATCATTCCATACACCAAATATAGTTGACCTATTGCTTAAAGTACTTGAAAAACAGACCAACACACAAAAAATTAACATTGACCAATGAACCATGAAAACGAGGTCAAGGTCAGATGATACCTGCAAGACATACTTGTGCACCTTATAATCATTCCATACACCAAATATAGTTGACCTATTGCTTAAAGTACTTGAAAAACAGACCAAAACACAAAAAAATAACATTGACCGATTCAATGAAAATGAGGTCAAGGTCAAATGATACCTGCCAGACAGACTTGTGCACCTTATAATCATTCCATACACCAAATATAGTTGACCTATTGCTTATAGTACTTGAAAAACAGACCAAAACACAAAAAATTAACTTCGACTGATGAACCATGAAAATGAGGTAAAGGTCGGAAGAAACCCGCCAGACTGACATGTACCCATTACAATCATTCCATACACCAAATATAGTTGATCTACTGCTTATAGTATTTGAGAAACGGACCTAATCACGTAACTTTAACCTTGAGAACTGATCCATTAAATGAGGTCGAGGTCAGGTGAACTCTGTCTGACAGACATGTAGATGTTACAAGGAACCCATATACCAAATATAGTTATCCTATTACTCATAATAAGTGAGAAATTCACATGACAAAAAAATTCAAGCAGTCACTGAACCATGAAAATGAGGTCAAGGACAATGGACATATGATTGACGGAAACTTCGTTACATAAGGTATCTGCATACAAGATATGAAGCATCCAGGTCTTCAATATAAAGCTTTATACAAATGGTTTACGCCACCGCCGGATACTAATACCTATGTCTCGCATACTGCGACTTTCGTCGTAGGAGAGACAAAAATCTTTATACTTAATGACAATGTCTAATCAATGTATACCTTCATATTTTGAGTAGCTATTAGCTAAAATTTATGACTAGAGTAATTTCTTCATTACCTAGAAACCTCTGTATAAGCCACCAATACATCACCATTGCCTCTTACAATATATGCCGGCCAAACAGTCACTGATGCCGTTTCTGTCTTCGTATATGGTCTTTGCCTCTTTTTCAATGTTACAGGGGGCCCAAAATCAAAGGAAGCAGCATACTCTCCAAGCACAGCAGGAAATGAAACCTTGGTTGGTGATTGGTTGATATCCTGTGGTGCATTACTTAGTTTGATAACTTGGACAGGAATATTTGGTTCCTGTATATTATAAACACTGCAAAAGAAAGAAAATCATTTTTACTGGTTAGACCATTCCAAACATTACATATCTGGACCATGTGTTGTTTGTCTGTTTGTATGTCTATTTTCTAGGAGGAGTACCGGTAAGCTATTTGTGGTAGGTGTACGCATGGTCTATTGTAATGTCTAACATATAAATAAGTAGACATGAGTGCCAATGAGACAACTATCCATCCAAGTCACAACGTGTAATAAATTGCTTCGCCGAGCGCAGCTGGATATGACCGCAGAGGTCCAACCCTGAACAGTTGGGGCAAAAATGGACACAATATTCGCACTTGATACAGGTCTGAATTTGGATTGTAATTAAATATTTGACACATAATAGGTTTCTGACACCGAATAACTGTAGTCAAAGAACTTAGAATTGGTTATATGATTTGAATTTATATTCAATTTTTAGCTTTTGTGCAATACACTATGCTGTTGCGAATTGACCCTACAAAAAAAAAATTTACCCCCCCTTTTTTTGTTTCTGTGTAATACACTAAGCTGTTGTGAATTGACCCCCTCCCCTCCTAAAAAAAAAAGAAATGTTTACCCCCCCCCCCCCCCCCCTTTTAAAAAAAAAAAAATATTTGAGTCAATTTTCTTTTTAATTTCTGAAATCTGAAATGAGAAAAAATTGTCCCCCTTCCTCACAATTTCTTTTTTACCCGCCTCCCCCCCCCCCCCCCCTTTCCAAAAAAAAAATTCTTTCCCTCAAGATATGGTCATAATCTCAATTCAAATTATTTCCAATGGAGTTTGCAACCATAATTACCCATTTAAATACATCATAAAAGTCTTAAAATAGAAAATGACATACATAATCATGGCTAAAATTAGTATATTAAATATTCCTTAATCAGCATTTTTAAATAGTAACTTCTAAAAATAAATTGACAACTAATCACCTCAAGACAATGCAACATTCCTTTATACATAATTTAAAAGCAGTGTAAGGGAGGTAATCCAAACTTAACATTGTACTTTTTTTTAATTGTCCAATTAACCAGGAAACCCTTGTTTTTGCCCCTAATTCCTAAACGGTTTGAGCCATAACCCCCAAAGCCAATCCTAACCATCCCTTTGTGGTATGGAAACTTGTGGTATAATTTCAGAGAGATCCATACACCGTTCCACAAGTTATTGTCTGGAAACTAGAAAAATGCTTATTTGGCCCTTAATTCTTAAACTGTTAGGACTATAACCCCCAAAATCAATCCCAACCTTCCTTTTGTGGTTGTAAACCTTGTGTTTAAATTTCATAGATTTCTATTTACATTTACTAAAGTTATTGTCCGGAAACCAAATGTCTTCGGACGACGCTGACAACGACGTGATACCAATATACGACTGCAAATTTTTTTGTGGTCGTATAAAAAGTAAACAATTATAGGTCAGAGTACGGCCTTCAAGACGGAGCCTTGGCTCACACCGAACAGCAAGCTATAAAGGGCCCCAAAAAGACTAGTGTAAAACAATTCAAACAGGAAAACCAACGGTCTAATCTATATAAAAAACGAGAATCGAGAAACACTTTTGAAACACACCAACAAACGACAACCACTGAACAACAGGCTCCTGACTTAGGACAGGTGTATACAAATGCAGTGGGTTTGGCTATTCTTATTTTACTTTGTATGTGTTACTATGTCTTAAATTACTTTCATTAAATTTTCCACCTCATGATTTACTAAAACTATTTTTTAAAGTTTTGGAATATGTGATAATTAAATTAAAAACTATACTAATTTGTAGTTTAAAGAAAAACAACTTTATTTTAAGTATGTATTATCAAAAACTTTCAAATTATAGGCCTATGTCTGATTCTACATGTACTCTTATAAGGCAAATAAAATGAAATAAAATTGTTATGAAATGAAGAGTTTTTCACACATTTGAAATCTATAAATAATTGTTGTGTTTACTTTACTAATTTTGATGAAACTAAACTGAAAATTATGAAAGCAATGCTGCTCTTTCACTTCAAATTATTTATAAGGGCTGTTCCATAAAAGCATACATGGGACCCAGGGAAGGTACTTCAAAAACTCAACTATGGGTGGGTGTCGTCTTTGTTTTTGCATAGTGGAAATGTAAGTGAAATATTAATTTGCCTCTATAGGTGGTTACCCCATTTTTAAAGTGCCTACCCTGGGTACCATGTATGTTTTAATGGAACAGCCCTAACTGTTTTGTCATTCAATAGAATACCAAAATTATTCCAATGCTAACGCTGACAAATATATTTACAAATATACCTCATGTGTTATTTATTCCTATGCTGACAAAAATATTAACAGGTATACCTCATGTGTTGTTTATACCTATGCTGACAAATATATTTACAAATATACCTCATGTGTTGTTTATTCTGATGCTGACAAATATATTTATAAATATATATCCCAACAAGTAAATAATCTATTTTCTCAGACAATTACTTTGTATCAACTGAGATATTCAGTCATATAGATACAAATGTATATAATTATTTCCTAGAAGGATTTTTAATCAGAAAAGAAACATAATTAAAAATAAATGGAGAATGTGTCCCCATGGACACAGATGATGCCCCCGCTTGCATACAACATTATAAAGGGACATAACTCAAGAACGATAAAAGTGACGCTACCCAAATTTGTACTTGATCTGAGTTTTAAGGTAATAAGTATTGTGTATAGGTTTCATAATGTTTGGTTGGGGCAAACTTAAGTTAGAGAACGGTAACTAAAAATATTGCATTTTTTTTCGATTTATAAAGGGGCATAACTCGAGAATGGTTAAAGTGACCCCACCAAAATTCAAACTTGATCTTTATTTTGTGGTAATAAGCATTGTGTATATGTTTCATAAAATTTGGTTGAAGCAAACTTAAGTTAGAGAACGGAAACTAAAAATTTTGCAATTTTTCCATTTATGAAGGGGCATAACTCTAGAACGGTTAGAGTGACCCTACCAAAATTCAATCTTGATCTGTATTTTGCGGTAATAAGCATTGTGCATAAGTTTCATAACATTTGGTTGAGGCAAACTTAAGTTAGAGAACTGAAACTAAAAATTTTGTAATATTTCCATTTATAAAGGGGCATAACTCTTGAATGGTTAGAGTGATGCTACCAAAATACAAACTTGATCTGTATTTGGTGGTAATAAGTATTGTGTATAAGTTTCATAACATTTAGTTGAGGCAAACTTAAGTTAGAGAACTGAAACTAAAAATTTTGTAATTTTTCCATTTATAAAGGGGCATTACTCTAGAACGGTTAGAGTGACCCTACCCAAATTCAAACTTGATTTCATATTTGGTGGTAATAAGCATTGTTTATAAGTTTCATAACATTTGGTTGAGGCAAACTTAAGTTAGAGAACGGAAACTAAAAATTTTGCAATTTTTCCATTTATAAAAGGGCATACTTCTTATACATTCAGGTATTTCACATCCAATGCTTTATGGAAATATTCTTTATAAAGCACAAAAATGTCAGTATTCACCTCTGAAGCTAACAAAACCTTTAAATAGACTTATTAAGAAGGGATATAGTTACGATACTGTTGTCAGGTCATTAAAGATTGCATATTTTGGCGTTAATATTGATTCACTTATAGGGTCTTTGCATCGGCACTAAACACATTTATTTAAAAACCAGTTGTTGGCATGACACGGGTTATGTTCTTCTCATATATGTTATGATGGTATGATACTAAACCCCTAACGGGAAGGATTGTGCCTGATATTCATATGATGAAGACATAATCTTTCAATCAGTTTAATTGAAGTCTGGAGCTGGCATGTCAGTTAACTGCTAGTAGTCTGTTGTTATTTATGTATTATTGTCATTTTGTTTATTTTCTTTGGTTACATCTTCTGACATCAGACTCGGACTTCTCTTGAACTGAATTTTAAATTGCGTATTGTTATGCGTTTACTTTTCTACATTGGCTAGAGGTATAGGGGGAGGGTTGAGATCTCATAAACATGTTTAACCCGCCGCATTTTTGCGCCTGTCCCAAGTCAGGAGCCTCTAGCCTTTGTCAGTCTTGTATTATTTTTAATTTTAGTTTCTTGTGTACAATTTGGAGTTTAGTATGGCGTTCATTATCACTGAACTAGTATATATATTTGTTTAGGGGCCAGCTGAAGGACGCCTCCGGGTGCGGGAATTTCTCGCTGCATTGAAGACCTGTTGGTGACCTTCTGCTGTTGTCTGTTCTATGGTCAGGTTGTTGTCTCTTTGACACATTCCCCATTTCCATTCTCAATTTTATAACTCTAGAACGATTAAAGTGACGCCACCAAAATTCAAACTTGATCTGTGTTTTGTGGTTATTAGCATTGTGTATAAGTTTCATAACATTTGGTTGAGGCAAACTCAAGTTAGGGAACGGAAACCAACTTTGGGACATATGTACAGATGGACAAGGGTAAAACTTAATGCCCCCTCCGCTACAGCGGGGGCATAAAAATCAATTGGTTTAATATTTGTCATGCATTGCAATAATTTTGCTTGTTTGTATTTACACCAAGTGCCCTTATTTTAGCCAAGAGATTAGTATCAGTCATGGAAAATAGAATTCTTTTACCTCTGATTTTTATGTACTAAAGGGGAGATAACTCTATGGACAGAATTTCTTTAGACTGGATATAACCATACAGTGTAAAAATTGGAAAACTTGAAGTATAATCTTTTAAAAAAAATTTCCAGCATAATTAAAAGTTATCTCCCTTTTTAATTATTATTGTTTTGTTTTACAAAGGTTTTTATTTTTCACTGAAAAAAAACACAAACATTGCAATTTTAAACTAGAGTTTCAGAATGTGGAGTTTCTAAATTTGAACAATCTTATTACAAATTGGACTTTTTAAACATCTCAGAAGTTTAATAAAATGCAATTATAGCTATCAGAGTGTTGGAATTGTTGTACATTTGAATGTACATACATTAACGGTAAGTTTATTTATAACTTATTATAATTAATGTTATACATGTAAGTAATCAGTTATACAAGGGTTTTTTTTCTTTAAAATTAAATGTAAATACTTTAATGGTAAGTTTATTTACATCTTAATTATAATTAATGTTATACATGTAAGTAATCAGTTATACTTTCAGATTATCTTATGATAGCATAAAGCTGACTTATTCCTGCCTAAAACTTTACATGAAATTATTAACATATAATTTCAGTAAGAAATCAAAGAATTCGAACTGACACCACCCCTACAATAAATATTCATATATATCTTAAATTATGTATGGGCAAGAAGTCCATTAATAGACCTTAATGTGTTGTCTGAAGTCAGAAAAGCAATATGGCTGTCTGTCTCACTCCCAGGATGCCACAGTACTGTTAGCAGACGTACTCCATGATGGCCAGCAAAATAATGCTCAGCTACATTTAAAGATCTGCAAATAAACAGTATTTAATATAATATGTATATATAATACACAAATATGTTTAAATACATATATATTTATATAATTATATAAGTAACAACATAAGTAGTCACTAAAATTTATTGGTTTCTATTAAATTTCAATTTATTATGACAAGGCTAGCTTAAATTGAGAAACAGAAACGGTTTTGTGACATACAGATAGTTTGGCTATACTTTTTGTCCTTTTTAAAGCTTGATACCAAATTTCAGGAATCTCTGATTTATAGTTCCTGAGTAAATTGCCTTGTAAATTTAACGCATGGCCATGCCCATTGTATGTAAGAGTATATAAGTATACTTAACCTAGAGGATCTTTAGAGCCTCTGTCGATCACCTTGGTCTATATGCATATTCAACAAAGGACACTCTGCAACATTGTAGACGAGAATAGAATTTATGACAAAAATCTCTGTTTTGTTGATCTTGTATTGCTGATCATTTAGTCTGTTTAGTTTCTCTTTACCTTTTTCAGATTTTGCTCAAAAAACAAATAAGGGTAAAAAAAAAATCTAAATTAAGGGCAATCACTCCTATAAAGAGTGAGTCTAGTAGCTATATCATCAAAATTTGACTTGTAAGTAGATCATGTCTTGCTTATTTTTTTTTCCTAATTAAGTTTCTATCTATCTATTATAATTCTTATCATATAAGGCAAAATGCAAAAAAAAATATGGTAAAATCTTAATTAAAGGACAATTACTCCAATACGGAGTCGTCGAACGAATTTTCACCACTATGTCTTATTTGTAGATCTTGTTTTGCTGATCATTTTTGCTATTTTAGTTTCTATCTATCTATTATAACTTTTAAGATGTAAGGCAAAAACGCAAAAAAAATAAGTAAAAATCTTCATCAAAGGGCAATAACTCTAATCAGGAGTCCACTGATGAGTTCAACCATTAGACTTCTTTGTACAACTTGTCCTACTGATCATTTTTGCATTTTAAAGTCTCTCTCTCTCTATCTATAATGGTTTTCAAGATAATAGGCAAAAAATGAAAAATATGGTAAAATTTGTCATTTAAGAGAAATAACTCCTATAAGAAGTCATCTGACAGTTTTGGCATATATAAACAATAGGTAGAGCTCAAACTTCTGAACATTTCTGCCTTGTTAGATTTTCTTTATTTATAACAGTTTTCAAAATAATAGACAAAACTTGCATTTTACCCCTATGATCTATTTTAGCGATGTCGGCCATCTTGGTTGGCAGGTGGGGTCATCAGACAGATTTTTAAAAACTAGATACTCCAATGATAATTTTGGCCAAGTTTGGTTAAATTTGGCCCAGTAGTTTCAGAGGAGAAGATTTTTGTAAAAGTTAACAGATGACGATGATGGATGACAGACGCCAACAAGTGATGAGAAAAGCTCACTTTGCCCTTTGGGCCAGGTGAGCTAAAAAGGAAGTTGATAAGTGTAAAAGAGCACCACATGATAAAGCATGCTCACATGAACCTTGAGAATAGGATTAAGAAAGCTTGGATTTGAAAAATGTAAAGAAAATTCATGGGAAGGACAGATGGAGGTTAACAAGTATACCCCTCCTTCAGAACAGGGGTATAAAAAACTCAGTTTCAATTGTTATAAACCACTGCTGTTTCTTTGTTGACCTACTTGCACTGAACACACTGCTTTCCACCCTCATAATCATTGTATTTTCCCCATCTCCGTGGCAACTCTATCACAGTAATACCAGTCTGACCCCACACTGCTAGATAATTCCCCGTTCTGTTGAAAACCAAACATTCCACATCAAACCTTGGTGCATCAGTACATAGCAGTGTCTGTAAAGATAATTTATCAAATTTATATTCGTACATGTAGATGAATATAGACAGGGTTTCAAAAATCCTGAAATCTTTTAAGTTAAAATGAAAATTCATAGTCAGGGGTTTAAAATAGTACTAACTAAAAAAGGACAAAAACTAGTATACAACTGATAACAAGAAACATGCACACATGTAAACAAAAATTAATTCAAGGCAACATCGTCACTGAATACCTGGTACATGAATATTCATGACATGTTTCTAATATTTTATATATTTTGCTTTATACTCCATTTTTTTCTAACCCTTACCAATAGTCCTTTTTACCACCACACTTAGAATTTTGTAATCAAGTCATGCTAGTCCCATTGTCCAAAACTAACCTGGCCCAAGTTCATTCGACTCAAGTCCATTTGACCCAAAGTAGATTCAGTCCCATACTAAAATAATGAACAAGTACTATAAAAGTTGGAGGATTTTGTGGCATATTTGACAAAAATGTTTGATGAGGGTAAGTGGAATTTGCACAATGAAACAGTTTTGATGATCAATGATGGCAGGAAAGTGAGGTTCCCCTATTATTGGAGGTAAGGTTGCATTCATAAAGATTTGTACTGTTTGTAAAGCAGAATGATTTTTTAAGGGGATTATCAATGATTTATATATTTTTTAACTTTTGGCTAATTAAAAGTATATGTGTGGTTCCAGTTACAGCCTGAAAAAAAATAGGGTCGGTATGTCTGCAATTTTTTTTTTGGATTGTCAAAATCCAGAAAAAATTGTGTGTTCACCGAGTCTGATTCCTGTATTATACACGTCCCTACCAGAAGTTCGACATTTTCCGTTTTCAAGAACTGGCAAGCCCTAGATCTTGATCCTGCACCTAAACAAGTATACCTAACTACTATGAGAAATTACTTTGAGCAATGACTTCTACTTCTACCATTACATGACCACCATCAACAAACTGAATATTTTGCCACTTTTGGATGTGCATGTAAATATTTTTTAGAAAAATAATGTGAAAATTGTGCTATAAATTCTACATACAGTGAAGTTAAAAACATCCTGGACGGTGGTCTAGTCTAGATTGCCTCATGTAGGTGAGTCTTGAAACATTCAAGACTACCTGCACTGGTGGTGGTAAGTGGTAGTGCATTCCAGTCTCTAATTGTTCTTGGATAAAACAATTCTTTCCTCACTTCTGTTCTACACAATGGTACTTGGAAACCATTGATGTTCAAGTGACGGGATAGTCTGTCTGGTGGAGTGAGGGTGTTTTTTTGTATTAACATTAACCATCCTGTTGGCAAGTTTGTATATCATTGCAAGTCTTCATGCTTTTCTCTCATCTTCAAGGGTTTTCAATTCGTGTTGCGTAAGCATGTCACTAACAGATGAGGTGTTGTAATATCTGTTAGTGACCTATCTTGCTGCTCTTCTTTGTACCATTTCCAGCTGGTGTTGTCGTGCTGGATACATGGGATAGGGTCCTAGACTTTGCATTTATACTCCAAGGTTGGTCTAACTAGGTATTTGGATACAGTTTCGTTTCTATAGTAGTGTTATTGATGTTGAGGTTTCAATTAAGAAATCCAATGGTCTTGTTTGCTTTGTTACATATAAATATAAATTTATAAGAAGATGTATGTTTCTGATGTGTTCGTTCCATTTCAAGCCTAAACTGATGGCACAACCTAGATATTTAACAGATTTTACAGATTCAAGGGTGTTGCCATACAGTGTGTAATCTCTCACAATAGGTTTGCGTTTTCTTGAAATTGTTATTGCATTTGTCGGGATGAAAAGGCCATTTTCCATTTTGTTTCCCAGATTTCCAGTTTGTTGAGGTCTGCTTGTAAGTTCTCACTGTCTGTGCTGACGCAATATTAAGATATACTATGGTATAATCGGCAGAGCCTAACCCTTGAGTGAATACCTTCTGGCATGTCGCTTATGTAGAGGAGGAACACACTGGGTCAAAGTACTGAACCTTGTGGGACGCTTGATTTCATGTTGATTGTATCAGATTTTCCCCCTTCTAAAACTACCACTTGTTTCCTGTCAGAAAGGAAATATTGTATCCATTTGTTGGTTTTACCTCTAATGCCATAGTGATCCAGTTTGTGTGTCAGTGGACTGTGACTTACTTTATCAAATGGCTTTGAAAAATCCATAATTAGGAAGTCTGTTTGTTTCCCAGCATCCATGTTTAAGGTGATGTCATTGATGAAGTCGATCAGTTGTGTTTCACTGGATACTATAGGTCTCTTCTGTATCTACGTTGTAGTGGGTAAAATATTTTATGTTTGTCAGCATGGGTCATTATGTGGCTTGTTACAATGTGCTCCATAATTTTGCAGCAAATCCTGGTAAGTGAGACTGGACAGTAGTTTATTGCGTCAAGCCTTTTTCCCTTCTTTAATATTGGACTTACATTTGCTCTTTTCCATAAATCTGGTAAGTCACCTGTTTGACAGGACCGCCTGAAGATCGTTGTTAGTATTGGTGCAATATCTGATGAAAGTTCTTTTAATACTCTTGTATTGGCGATCTGATGAAAGTTCTTTTAGTAAACTTGATGTTATAGAATCTGGTCCAGCAGCCTTGTCTGGGTTAAGATTTGATAATAATTTTGCAATTCCATTTTCAGTTATGTTTAGGTCCTGTAGTGAAGAGTAGAGTTTATTTGTCATGTCTCATCGGTCTTTTAACTTAATGTTTGAACAATTCATTTATTATGACATACCATATGAGGAAGACAAGAAGTACAAATGTACCAGGAGATATTTTGTGTCATGTTAGACCTTAGGATCAGGTGCGGAAGTGTACACTGTCTGATGAAACATATGAATGATTGTTTGCATTACTTACTCACCATCTTCATCCCAATTATTAAAAAGATAGAAACCAATCAGTTGTCTTCTTTATTGTGTAGAAGTTTATAAACAAAAAATCTACTTTCGTTTTCTACTTTCATTTTCATAAAAGGACAACAACAAATAACATGCCAACTTAAAACAAGTAAACATCCCTTATCCCTGATATTTAAGTGACAAAACATTCATCTAGGGTGTGCATGCATGAAACCATTCAGATAGATGCATTTTATACCTGAAATCTTTCTTGTTTTTCCTTATCTTCCAAAAGCAACTGCTTCAGATTGAAATAGACAATGTGGCATGCGTACGAGTCCCATACATATAAATCGCTATCATATACAACAAATAAACTCTTAGCTAAATTTCTGAGTTTTTGTTTTGAGTCTTTAGAATTGTTTTCTGCAAGATTTTTAACAAATTTCTGGTTATTTAAACATGTGCGCCAACTGTCAACACCCGCCATTTTCCCTCTAGAAAGCCTCAGAACAGAAGAAAACATCGACTTGTTTTCTACAAAGAAATGATACAAAGAATAATCGACTAGCTTTTCAGAATCAAAAATAGGTATTTGTCCAAACTAGTTTCATTGTATATATTGACAACGTTTGTTTCTAAAAATCAAAATGTAAACAGTTTTGAGATTATTTTCGATTCTAAGTGGGTCATGTGATCAATTGATTGGGCTTAATCCCGTTCAAGATGGCTGCGAGCTTGCAGTCAATGGTACAATATTGGAAAGAGTTTGATTTACAGGAACTACAGGTATGTCCATCTTCATTAACATTAATTATCATATCTTTAGGTGACGGAGGTTTCATGAATTATCCATACCCCAATCAAAAATAATGCAGTTACAAAATGTCAGCTGTTTTCCAATTTCCCAATATCATCAATAAAATGTGTATTATCTAAAAAATCAATATGGCTGACTGATCAGTGGATTTCTTTGTGTCAGTATAGAAGCAGCAGCTGATTATAAAGTTTTAAATGATTAGTTAATAATAAATTCAAAAGTTTCAAACAGTGTAACAACTTTTTACCCTTCAGTGAAAGTTTGAAAAGTTTTATGACTTGTCTTCTCAGCATCCACAACTGATAAATGTGTATTGGAAGTCATTAGCTTGTGTATTACAAATTTGGTAACCAGATTAGTCCCAGTATTATTTATTGTCACCTGTGAAAACTTCATTAAAATAAACAGTTGTATTCACTGTCATGTTTTGATCATTTCCAATACACCACTTAGACAGATATTAGGTAAGTATATGAATTATCTTTCAGAAAACTTTTATCATACATTTCATACAAGTTGTTAAATAGGATGGACATAGCACCAACAATAGGCCACAAACAAAAATATATTTGTTAAATTTACAGATGACACTGAAATACTATATATGTATATATTTTTTTAATAAATTTTCATTTGTTTATAGGAATAAAAGGAGATGATGCATGTTTAATTGTTTTCATGAATTATAAAAAGACAGGCCAAATTATATGTCTTTGGGGTTAAAAATTGTTGCAACAGATTTGGTTTCAGTTCTCTGATGTATAATATAATAGTTCTGAGGAGCTATGAATTGTTAGTGCACAGTATAAAAATCACTTATATCTCACAAAGTTATTTCCTGTTGAAAGTATCATAGATGGATCCAAGAGGGGACTTTAATGGTAAACACAGTGTGATTTAAGTGTACTTTTTTTAATTGTATTTATAGTTTTATTGGGACCCCTTATTGGAAGTCCCAGATCCACCACAACATGTACATGTAAATGTTCATCAGAAAATTAGTTATAGATCCCAATCCTTTTTTTCAATCGCTGAATTTCTAACTATAATTTTTTTTTTAGTTAAACACTGAATTGGATTTTATTTTGATTTTAATTGAAGATTTTTTTATGCTTTCCTGACTACTGTATTGACCTAAAACTACATTTTTGTAGTTTGAAATCTAATTTCTAAAATACTGCTTATAGTTGTCAATAAGACAACAATCCACCAAAGAAAAAAGGAATAAGTAATTTGATTATTTTCAAACCTGAAATCAATTTTGTGTATGTATTTGATTTTTTTTTCAGGTTATTCTATGTATTTTTCATGATTCAAAGTGAAATTGTGCAATTAAGGTTTTTATTAAAACAGATTCATCTATATCAGTCTATCCTTGCAGATTCTTTAACAAATCATTTCATTCTTATGATTAAGTTTGGTATTGAACAAAGTTATGAATTTGAAATATTTGCAATTGTACCCAATTTTCAAAAAATATTCTTCTTGACTCCCCATACTGAGTTAAGCATATGTTTTTAAAATATATAACTTGTGCATATTCTTAAGATTTGTTTGTATAGAAATAAAGACCTGATTTTTAGGAGAAAAATTGATAAAAGTATGCATCCCCTGATTCAGAAGGTAATTTTTTGAAAATTTATTGTTTACCCCACCCCTGGAAAAAAAAACACAAAAAAACCCAATATCTTTAAGAATATCAATCCAATATACATCATTACATGTAATACTTAAATAGTTGTTCTTTTCATAATTGTTTTCTTTGATTATGGATTTGAAAAAAAATCATGCTCACATGTACATTTGTAAAAGTTTTGAAAAATGATTTAAGATTATGAGAAAAACTTTATAAACTGTTTAGGCATTTATTATTGAGTTATCTACCTTGTTTACTTGTATACAATTTTTTTTAAATCAAATTTATATGTAGCATCTCTATGTACATCTAGTATGAATAAGGCTGAGATGGAAAGGGGAAAAATACTTTGTTGGGTTACTCTCTCATGAACAATGACCCACATACTTCTTTTCTTTATCAGATATATAATTGATACAAAGTTGTAAGGTAAATCATTATAAAATTTATATTAGGTACTGAACAATGTTTTGAAAAATAACAAAATTGAAAGAAAAAAGATAAATACATAAATTTCATGGAAATGTTTAAATTTATGGCTTTTGATTTCAACGATTTTCCATTTTATTGTGGTGGTTTTAGCCATGCATTGATCTTTCTTTTAAAAAAAAAAACACAGGCCATTTGTTCATACATGTACAAAATTTACATGTGTAACAGTTTGCTTTTATTAAACAATTTTGAAATAAATATTTTGAACTTTTATTAAACAATTTTGAAATAGATATTTTGAACTTTTATTAAACAATTTTGAAATAGATATTTCGAACTTTTATTAAACAATTTTGAAATAGATATTTTGAACTATCTACATAGAGATCTATGTTTTTTTACAATCAATCAATCAAGCTTAATTTGAATAAAATTTTATGTGTCAAACTATAGTAATATATATATTATTAGGTCTTTATATATGAATAAAAAACACCAGTCATGTCAGTGAGACTATATTCCACCAACAAAATACAAATATTAAAGATATCGATGTATCTTGTTTGTGCATATAATTTAAATAAAAGACTGAATCAAACAGACAGTAACCAAACAACACCATAAAACTAGAAAAGAGTGTCTTGTTTGTGTTTCAGAATTATACGCATTGAGGGCATCATAGAGGCACTTTTTAAAGACCTCGACCAGCAATAGAATTAAAAATTTCATTTTATAAGTCCTACAATATTCAAAGGAAAATGCAACCACCCATATTTAATTAATTTAAGGGGCCTGTCATCCTTCACCCAATTTTTTTTGGAACAGCTGGTAAATGAAATTTATTCTAGAAAATAGAAATCAAATTTAAAATTAAACAGGATGAAGGATGATGTATAGATGTACATGTAGGTAATCCCAGTGGAGACAAAGAAGTTTATAATATCTCATTTCTTGTCTTAAAATCAATGATCATTGCTTTTATAACAATGTAAATATTGATTAGTTGTAAAAATACTCCTAATACCGAACGGCATGATTTGGTGAAGATTCCTAAATTAAGTTATACCAAATTGATTGAAATACAATCATTGATTTTTTACGTTCAGCGACAAATAATAAAACAAGCTAAATTTTCTGCCGATGGATTGATCAAGCACAACGTAGATATTGATTTTTATAAATATTCTGTATCTGGAGGGAAATTTATTCTGTTTTTAATCAGATTTACTAAGTGGATAAAATTTATTGTAATTCTCAGGTTACTTGACTGTACATCAAGGGATGAAGAAATTACATACTTGTACATTTATCTCACGGCCTCAAAATTATCAATTACTTCAAATCTCATAAATTTCATAATTGTTCACTAATGAAACAGGATAAGTATTTATATTTTTCAGTATAAACCAACCATTATTACATTTATCGAAATCATATTCACATTTTCAGTGCTCAATGTTTATTCTAATTTGAGGTTCTTTAGGGAGGGAGTGTCATACAGTTGTCCTTTAAATATATATTTCTGAAAGATTATTACATGTTCTACCAGTACATGCAGTAGCAAAGCAAGTCAAGGGGATGGCAAAGAATTGATGATTATTTGATTAATTGATTTAATTGGGTAAAATCTCTTCTGCAAGGGTGGAGGTCAAATCCATCAAAGTCTGATTTTTTCCTAAATTCGACAATAACATGAAAAATGTAGATTTTAATTGAACTATAAATATAAAACTTATAAAATCATCATGATCATGTCTGTTGTGGTAACTCTCAACAAAATGTTAATGTTTGATTGGATACTGTTACCAAGACATGTTCATTACCATATCTCCCTTTACTAACCTATACAGGGGAACAGTCACCTCAGTTTTCTATGCTGTGGTCAAAGGATTTAAGGGATATTGAATATTACTCCTTCATTTTGTCCTGATGGACTAAAGGGAAGTTTTTTGTTCTCCCAATTGTCCCTAGGAATTTTCAAGTTTTAAGTAGAGGCAATTTGGTTTCCTTTAATTGTCTGAGGATAAACAGGTGGCTAAATTTTTCCCTTTTTAAAAAAAAAAGAGCACAAAAAATCTCCCTTCTGTTTTTGAGGATAAGAAGGAATAAAATTTCAACTTATGCTCCTGAAGCATCATTTCTATTCATGGTTTCATACAATTGCTTCTTTATTCAAAACTTTATATAAAAAGTCCTAAAAGTGTCGAAATTCTCAATTGCCTACTAATTTAATTTGTGTATCATAAGAAAATAAGCAATAAAAAGTCACTCTATGTTGCCCTGAAGATGTATTAGGGTTATTTTAGTCGTAGAGTTGTTGGTTCATTAAAAAATACTGCACCCTCATTTAAGTATACAAGTTTGTTACTGATATTTAAAAAGCTTATTTCTTAGAGTTAAAATTTTCTTTTTATAATGTATTAAGTAATTGACGAAAACGACTTAAGGTCTTATCACCGCCCATTTCCCAAAATATTGCAGGAATTATTGTACTTGAAAATTTAAGTACATGTATATGATATATCTTATCTATACTTATCTATCAACTGTTAACGACATCCCCATGAAAGAAAAACTAATATAATCAATAAGTAAGTAATTACTTATAAATGAAATATCGGCACGAAAACAACAAGCTATGAAACATATAGGTTTTTTATAGAGATCAAAAGAAAAATTGGCTTCATTAGTATTCATGACGAGTCAATTTTTATTTTGAATATTTTTTGAAAATCTGGAAATTTTAAATACATCTTAAATGAGCCATGTAATAATTGAGTACTGATCATCAATATTAAGGAAAATGAGGCCCAGAATGGGGTAAAATGGTGATAGATTTCTCTCTTGTTTTAAGAAAAAATTATCTTTATACATTTTTTGTACCTCACAAATGTTCAAACA